CAGCAGCCACCTTCACGGGACGCACGGCCTCCCTCAGCCGCTTTCGCGGGGCACGCTGCCCTCAGCGGCACCGATGAGCAGCCCGAGCAGAAACACGCAGCCCTGGCGCCAGGCGTGAGGGGTCCTGAAAGCAGGAGCTGGAAGGCACAGCAGCGAGGAGCCGCCACCCTCTAGAAGTTACCGCCACACTTCTCCATGCCCCTTCTCTCTGAGCCATGCCAAGGGAAGCATGCACTGAGCACCATCGCGTACGATGCTATCTCTTACTTACTACGCTTACTGTTTCCTGCGACAGCAATGCTATTTTATTTTTTCTGTCATCCTAATTTGACTACTCATCCCGTTTCCTCCACTACCTTCTATGCGTCTATGACAAGCAAGAACATTTTCTATGATTCTATATTGGATATTAGAAGAAATTTCTTCGCGGAAAGGCTTGTCAAGCCCTGGAAGAGGCTGCCCAGGGAGGTGGTGGAGTCCCCATCCCTGGAGGTATTCAGCAGACATGCAGACGTGGTGCTTGGGGACATGGTTTAGCGGTGGGCTTGGCAGTGCCAGGTTAACGGTTGGACTCGATCTTAAAGGTCTTTTCCAACCTAAACAATTCTGTGCTTCTACGTCATTTCAAAGGGCTGAAATAGTACGTAGTGTATTTTGCATACTTTTATTCTCCTAAGTATTAAAATCCAGACATTGCCTTATGACAAATGTTATAATAAGAACAGAAAAATAACGAAATCTAAGTCTCTTGGCAAACTTGCAAGAAGTCAAAAGTACCAACATATCTCCACAGTCGCTGCAGAAAATGCCTTCCAAAGGGGACCAGCAATGACAACCACGGACCCTGCACGCCTCCACCCTGGCACCTACCCCACCGCTGCCAGGTCGGGAGCCTTCGAGGAGGTGCGGAAAGGGAGCAGACCAGCGCTGGGCACGGACCGGCTGAGAAATGCCCAGGCGACCGGAGGAGACAGCTTTCCCTTGGACAGCCCCCGCCAGCGCTGGCCCCCCGGGACGCCCAGCTGGGCGCCTGCAGAGAGCAACCCCGAGAACAGAGACGGGATCCCACCGCCTGCAAATCGCAGCCGGCAGGCCCTGCTGCTGGTCCGGCTCCTAACGAACA